AGGTAAATTAGAAAAGGAGAAAGAACTGATAAAGACAAGAAGAGATAAAGACAGGAAGAGATAAGGGGGAACTTAAAGCATATTATTTATTTAGGTAGGTAAGATATTAAGTCAAAAGGGGGTGATCTTTTGGCTGCTTCCTTGGGACAAAAGGTATCAAAAGGTTATGAGGTTTGTGGGGGGGGGGAATGCATGGCAGTTTGCTGCGTGTGCAAATTCCTCCACATTGCATCACATCTTTCACAATCCTGGAGACTGGGGAAGTACCCGAGGACTGGAAAAGGACTGATGTGGTTCCCATTTTCAAGAAAGGGAAAAAAGCAGACCCAGGAAACTACAGACCAATCAGTTTAACATCAATACCTGGGAAGATCCTAGAAAAGATCGTCCTTTTCCTGTAGTAGTTCACATAATTTGCATCTGATGCATGTATAATTTGGGGGTTCTTTGGGCATCAGTGCATACATGGAACATGTATTGCATACCATAATAGCCTCAGTTGCCTGTTCCATGAGTTTGGTGTTTGATAGTCTCTGTTGTGCTGCTTTGCCGCCACCTGTAGGCCTTTGGTCCACCATTGCCTCATTGCCACCACCTGCAGGCCTCCCGGTATGCTGCTGCTGCCTCGCCTCCCAGTCTTCCCGGTATGCTGCTGCTGCCTCGCCTCCACCTGCAGGCCTCCCGGTTCGCCACTGCTGCTCACAGCGGGCCTCCCAGTCCACCGCTGCCACTGCCCGTCTCTGTGCTACCCCCAGCTGCCTCACTGGTCAGCTGCTTTGCACTGCCATTGGCTGCCTCCTCTCCACCATTTGAGCTGCCGGTACATCACATGGCCTGGTTTGCTGTGCCGGTTGTCGCTTCATTGTGCCAGGTTGGGTTGCAGGGCTGCCAGGCCTTTCAGGTAGGCCTCCATTGGCCTAGAAGTCCTCCAGTGTCCTCTTTATTATCCTGTGTGGCCATTGTGTTGGATGGGGGGAGGCGCTCTGGTTCCAGTTTGCTGCTCTTGGTTGCCTTTTTTCCAGCATTGAGCTGCTTAACTGTGCTCTTGAACTGGATCTCTTGTTCTCTGCTGCTAGCTGCTCTGACTCCACGTGCAGCCGTTCGTTCGCTGAGCTCCTGTTTGCTGGTGCTTTCCTCCTTGCCCCAATTTCTTCTTTTCCTTTGTCCTTTCTATCTTTCTTAACTAACTTTCTGCTTCTTTTTGCTCCCTTTTTTTCCTCCCTCTCCTAGTACCTTCCTACTTAGTTTGGTTACTTCTCTCCCTGTGATCCAATGCTGCTTCCTACACTGAGTGCAGACAAAAGGAAAACTTTCAATAGACAGTGATGTGACTTCCATCCTTAAAGCTGCACTAACAGACGACCAATGGTTCAAGACACATACTGTGCTTCCCCAAAAATAAGATCCGGTCTTATATTTTTTGGCCTCCAAAAAAGGCACTAGGACTTATTTTGGGGGGATGTAGTCTTTTGCTGCCACCATGCAAACCCAAGCACGAGCAATACTGGTAGCAGCTGCACCTTCTCTCTTCCAAAACACGCCACAATATGATCTGAATAACACCCAGCTTGACCTGCTATTGAAACATTTTCTGGCTCTTTCCCAAAATGTGCTTACAGCGGCTGCCTAAAACATGCTTGTAATGGCTGCTAGACACGGAGCGGGCAGCCCCATGCCTCTGCCTCTGCCTGCTGCAGCCCGAAGCGGTTCCAAAGGAGGTTTGCAGGGGCCAAGTGCTCACTCTCTCTTTTTAAAATAAATCCTGCAGTCTCTTGTCACCACATGCAAACCTGAGCACAAGCAATAGCAGCTGCACCTTCTCCCTTCCCGAAATGTGCTTGTAGTGGCTGCCTGAAATGAGCTTGCAGTGGCTGCTGGACAGGGAGTGGGGGGCCCCCAATTTTTTTGCTGCCTTCTGCAATGCAAGGGATGGCGGGCGAGTCCTGCTTTTCAATTTCCATGCCCTTGCCGCTCGCTTGCAACTGGGACCGCTGCAGGTGGCACTGGCAGCAGGTGGAGGCAGAAGCATGGGGCTGCCCACTCCATGTTTGATGCCCTGATTTCTATAGGAAGTATACAGTTAAACGACACATCAGTTTTCAGTTTCAACTTTTCAGTGAAACTGACCATGGCAAACTTGTGAAAACATCAGCATCAGATATGTAAACAAAGCAACCAGCTGCTTTTTTATGTATTTTAAATTAAGAACAATGCCTTAAGCGAGAACTAGATTTGATTATTTCTGACATATTTCAAGTACGTTTTAGGTTGTTCTTCTTTGTGGGCAGCCGTTTAATATAGCCAATGAAGCAAGACAATTGTAACATGTCACATTCAAAAAAATCTAACATAGCATTATTCTCTTGCAAGACAGGGAGAAATTATCAGGTAGAGTTTTTGCACGCAGAATTCTTCAAATACAAGCCTTGCTATATGCACAATGTGGTGGTTCAGTGGTAATCATGACCATAATATAGCAAGGGCTAGAAACTGCCCAGTACTACAGGCATATTCCCTCTCATCTTGTCCTTGATGACTTCCCTTCATAGCTATTTTGGTTTTGATAGGAGTGAACAAGTACTATACATCTGCTCTCATATGCTTGCCCAGTGCCTCACACTCTGGTCAGATATTATGTTATCTTTATATCATTGTGTGCAAAAACAAAAAAACCCTGTGACCTAACTTTGTTTCACATAACAAAGCATTGCTTTGTTGCCAGGTTGTTTTTACACACAATGACTACAGCAAGAGGGTGAGCAAGTGAGGGAATGAAAGAGTGCACAAAACAAATAAGTAAATGAAAGAATGAGCAAGACATATTAATACAATGGGACAGACAAGCAAGTGAGAAAGAGAAGAAAATAAGAGAGAGCATCAGAAACCATAGAGTAAGTGCAAGAAACAGAAGAGGGAAAAGTAAGAGCAATAATGAAACAAGAGGAAACATGAGGGATGAAAAAAGCAAGTTAGAGAAACTAGAGAGACAAATGAATGTAGAACTAGACATAGGAATAAGGGAGAAAAACCTTAACAAATGACAGGATGAGAGAGCAAGCAAGACAGAGAGATAACCCAAGAATATTCTGTGGGATAAGAGCTCTTTTGCAGTACATGACAGTGCATGGCAAGGATCTTGTGGAAATATTACTACCATCCACTTTCCTTTAACATGGCCTGCATTAATCTTTAGGGAAGCCCCACTGAGAGGTGCACTAGTACAATAGGCTGGAATTACTATGGATGTTACCCTATAGCAGATGTCACCAACCTTTCTTGGTTGGCAGACCAGAGGGAAAGGAAGGGGGCAGCATTTTACACGCATGCAAGAATGTGCTCACGAATAGGGCTGTGAGCATGCACACGATGCAAATGGGGTGGTGCTAGCACCCATGTGACACTCGCAAGCCCTGCCCCGTTCTTGCATGGCTTGGCATCCTATTTTCGCACCCCATTTTTGTGCCCCACGGCATGGCAGCATCCCATTTTCACAGCCCAAGGTGCGGCATCATCCTGTTTTTGCGCCCCATGGCTGCGGCATCCTGTTTTCACACTCTGCGGCCATGGCGCTAGCATGAGTGGGGGGTGTACACACATGTGTGCGCACTGACCAGCCTGTCCCATGGCCAGCAGGCCACAGCGCAGTAGTGGGCTATGGCCCACAGGTTGGAGACCCCTGTCCTATAGGCCACTGGACATAACAGGCTCCCAGAAGAACTCAGTCCAATGATAAATCCTCTTACACACAGGTTTTTGGAAACATGTTCATCTAATTCTTTTTCTTATTATGCTAATGGTATCTTTAATCAGAAAAACTGCTATCTGCAATGGTACTTCTGCAATGTATAGAAGGTCTAGAGCAGAGGTCCCCAACCTTTTGGGCACAAGGGAGAGAGGTTTTTCCGTGGACCAGGGGGTGTGTGGTTTTGTGTGCTGCCTGCATGTCGCGGATGGGGCTCTGCTTGTTTGTGCGGACCGGTTGCTGGCATGCCACGGTCCAGTACTGGTCCATGGACCGGGGGTTAGGGACCTATGGTCTAGAGTCCTAAAAATAAGTTAGTTTAAGTGTGGCTAGAATGATTCATCTTACTAAAACAGAATTTATACTAACTTTAGTTTATAAACTATCTTGGGCTATATTTTCAAGCAATTAAGGAAAGTAGCAAACATCCCACCGCTGAGATAGCTTGCCATGATTGTGTACTACAACACATTATGGGAAGATTGGAAGTTGATGAAATTAGATAGCCCAGGCGATTTCTCGTAGTGATTTTTAAGGCAACAAATCCTTCGCTCACATATACGGGCCATTCCAAATAAAATATACGACCTCTGGGTATCCCTATGGTGACCATTTCCAGCTTTATAGCCATTTCTCTTTACTTTGCCTCGCGGTCGTTCCCCTTTTCTTCCGGCTTCTTTTTCGCTCTGCCCTCTCGGTCCCTTCTCAGAACATCAGCAAAGAAATACAATCCTACCTTCCTCCTCCTCCACGGAGTAACGCCACTCTTCGCAATCCAACTGTCTCTCGAAAATGCATTTGCCTGGGAGGAGGGGGAGGAGGGGAAAGGGCGCGTGCCCGCCTACTGCTTGCGCGCCCCAAGCAGAGGTCAGTGGCGCGTGCCAGCTCCCGCTCTAGCCTTAGCCTCTCCCGCCGATGGCAGGCATGCGCCCTAGTCATCCACCACCAATTTGGAGGCGGGCACAGGCGCTGAGCTTATTACTGTCCTGCCCCGCCTCTCTTCCCTCCCCAGAGAGAGCGAAAGACTGACGGAAACCAGGGTTACTCAGACGTCAGACAGCAGCGGTGGTGGCAGCAGTAAGAGGGAGGAGGAGGAGGAGGAGGAGGAGAGGAAGACAGCAGGCCTGGGCAAAGCAGGACAGGGAAGGACGCCTGATAGTGGACGTATATTGGTTCCTCCTTCCCAATCCGGAGCCGCTGGCAGAGCCTGACAGATACGTATGCTACAGGGACACGGAGGGAAGGGAGGGGGTCCGTCATCTGTTCCAGCTGCAAGAGGGGAGAAAAGGCTGCTGCTGCTGCTGCTGCTCTGTTGGCGAGGTTGCCCGGTCCACTGAAACAGCTAAAAAAAAAACCAAACCCAGGCGAAGAAGCGGAGGTAAGGGGCTTTGAGATCGGAAACAAATGGGGGAACAACTCCGGAGCTAGAAAAGAGAATTGGGAGATATGTCGCCGCCGTTCTCCTTCCCTTTCCAACGCCTCCCCCTGCCGACGCTGTGAGCTGGGAAGGGAGGAGGACTCGGGAACTGAAGGTTAAATCAGGCGGAGCAGGCGCAGGTTTGCCTGCTGCGGGGACGGAGTGATTTGGTGCTGAACTGGGCAGACCCTGCAGGGCGGAGTGGCGGACAGCCCGTGAGTGACAGGTTGCTGAAGCTCAGGGCGGAAAGAGCATTCCAGCTCCGGGCCAGAGGATGCTCAGTAGAGACCCGGGAGATGAGAAGGCAAAACTGTTTGTGCATTTGAATGGGACTAGATGAAACCATGGTGGAGGAAGACCTTGCCCACTGTAATTCAGACTCATCTTCATCCGATTTGGTCTGGGAGGAGGAGAGTAGGATTGTTGTGAAGCATCCATTTTGCCATATGATGGGTCTTGAAAGAGGGCAAGCTTAGTTTTCAAAGGGATGCTTTGGACATCTCTAACTGCCTGTTCCCTGAAGATTCTTTCTTTGGCAGGCATTGCTGTGAAGTTTTATTTTTGCTAAATTATTTGGAGAAGGAAAGGGGGTAAACTCCCAGCACCTGACTTTTGATGTAGTAGTCCCAAATTTGATCTGAAATATCTGCATGCATTTTTCAAGAATGGGTCTTCTATGCTGTTTCTCAGCATAGAATGAGGAAAGAAAAGAAATCTAAAAGGTAACTTTAAAATATGAGAACGACATAGCTTTTACTGAAACAATGTACATAATCAACTAATTATATTGTATCTTTCCATGGTTATGCTTCTATGGTAAAAAGTTGAACCAATGAATTTGGATCCACTTGTGTTTGCCCCCCACCCCCAATGAATTTATCTAATAAAATAGCGGTTATTGTTTCTCGCTCTTCACTGAAAGAGGCCTGGATATTTAGTGAAATGAAATCTGATTGCATTTGCTGTTTAGGGTTAGAAATGTTGCCAAACAGCTGCTGCTTTGTGTTTCAATTGCTGAGGTCCCAGGAGTGGGTTTTGGACAGGGGCATGGTTTGTAAACGATGAAGTCAGGGAGACAAGGGTCAAGTGTAGATTTATGGGTCAATAGTTCTCCTTCTGCTAAACTTTAAGAAATAATCATTTGGAAAAAATGGTAAAATACCACAGAAAAGGCTTTTAATGTGTAACATTTTACCAATAGTAACATTTCCTTTGAATTTGAATTTGCATTCATAGTTTTCCTTTAATTTCACCTTGGGTTTATTTGTTTGTTTTGGACAAAATAATTGTACAGTTTTGTTTTCTTATATTTAATAGATTTAATGTTCTTTATTTTGATGATTGAAGCATATGTAAACACAAGAAAATGTTTTTAATAATACCTTGCGTAATAAATATTGCAGAAAAATAAACATTGCATTTATCACATTTTGTCTTTTTTGAGCTGTATTATGTTCTTTTATTTCTAATGGTATGCATTTGCTTTTTAAAGTAAATTGCTTTTAAGAAAAAATATTTTAGGAATATTTTGTACTAAATTTCTATTTTTCTTGCTGCATTATATTTTATTCTTGAAAGGTTTTAAAATAAGAATAGTACTTAGCACTAGATAAATTTATTTTAAAATGTTTCAGAAAGAGAACATAATAGCACCCATATATTCCCAGTTTCAGCACATCTTGCTTACTATTTTTGTTCTTAAAAGTATATTTGGTTTGTTTGGTTTTTCTATATTATATGTTCAGGAATGGAGATAAGAGGTCTTGTCTGTGAAATGGAATATTGAAGATGAGCACAGAAAGTTCTGTTGGATCCAACAAAGCATGGAAGTTGTTTACAAAATAAAAATATGTTTTATCAGACTTGTGATAGTCTGGAGGAAACAGCAAACTTAGTCATTCCCTTTAATATCTGTACTACAGATCTACTGCCAGAGACCTACTGAATTGTCCCTTAGACCAAATTAAAAATTGTAAATATAAGAGAGTCAGAAGGTGAAGTTGTGGTCTTCAACATTTCATAGCAATGAAAATGTGTCAAAAAATCTGGGCTATTTCCATTGCAAAAATTGCTAATTGAAGAATAGAGAAGCCAGTAGAAATAAAGTAAGAATGCATATCATTATCTTTTCCAGAGAAGGAGAAATGGATTTCACTTACAGGTGAATCTTGAAAATAGTTGCAGTTTACATACAATAGCATATTCTATTATCAGGGAAGAAAACAATTATGTTAAAATTGTTACAAAGCAGCACAGTATGCCAACCAAAAATAGGGCAGCTCAAGAATAATATTAGATGAAGATCACCAGGAATTTGGTTTGTCTTGAGTGAAATCAAAGTGCTCCCACTTCTAACATTGCAACAAGTACCCAAGACTAGATAAAAATTACCATAGTAAAGAATATCCTTGAAACTGGACAATTAATGTTTGGTTTCAAGGATAGCCATACATTTTTGGAAAATGACTTCAAATTTCTCCGTGAATCAAGGCTATGCCCAAGAAATGCTGAATTATGAGCAATTAATTGCTTGATTGTTAACTTGACCATTATGCAGAAAACAGCCTAGTTAGTGCAAAAAATGCTACTGTTATTATGGATGTCCTGTCACCATATACACTGTTAGAAAAGTGATAACTTTTCACACTTTCCACTTCATAACTGTGGATTGACCAGACTAAGGTTTTTATGTCTGTTTATTAGCAGTATGGCTGCTCTTAATCAGTTACACATTATAAAATGATATTTTGGGAAGTCCCTATTAGGTTATGATTAGAAGGTATCAATGATCTTCTTAATGCATGGAAATAACAGATGAACAATCAACACATTTTGTTCCTAATGTCACCAACTTTTTATCAGCTGGAACTACTACTTTTCAGAACAAGAAGCTGATGACAAAACTTTGAGCCAAAGTTTCTGAGGAATGTAATTAATACAAAGAATGTAATTAATGTAATCAAGGTCCCTTCCAACTTATTATTGTTGTTGTTGTTGTTGTTGTTGTATGTATTGAGCATCAAAATGCAGAAATCCAGTTTATCTGAGTTCTTTAATACCAAAAATGCCAATAGTCTATGAGAGTTGGTGATATTTTATTATTTATTTGAATTTATTTGTCTAATGAAGTTTATAGTGAACAATTGGATTTTCAAAATAATAACATAATGATAGCTACTGATTCTTTTTTTAAATAAACAAAACTGACTCCAGTTATGCCTAAACTCAATTAAAAACCACCTAGATTTTATTGATACAAATTTATATAAGATGTTTATATATGCAAAACTATAAATAGATTTGAGGAATTTTGTGCAGCAAAAATATATACTACAGTAATTATTGCACATAAGCCATATGTGTAATAATAATAATAATAATAATAATAATAATAATAATAATAATAATAATAATAATAGAATAGAGCTGGAAGGGACCTTGGAGATCTTCTAGTCCAGCCCACCGCTTAAGCAGGAGAACCTATACCATCTTAGACAAGTGATTGTCTAGCCTCTTCTTAAAAATCTCCAGTGATGGAGCATCTACAATTTCTGGAGGCAAGCTGTTCCACTGGTTAATTGTCCTCACTATCAGGAAGTTCTCCTTAATTCTAGGTTGCTTCTCTCTTTGTTCAGTTTCCAACCATTGTTTCTTGTCCTTCCCTCTGGTGCTTTGGAGAATAACGTGACCCCCTTGTCTTTATGGCAGACCCTCAAATATTGGAATACTGCTATCATGTCGCCCCTGTTTCTTCTTTTCTTTAGACTAATCAAACCCAAGTCCTGCAGCCATTCTTCGTATGTTTTACTCTCCAGGCCTTTGATCATCTTAGTTGCTCTTCTCTGAATTTTTTCTAAACTCTCAACATCTTTTTTTGTGATATGGTGATCAAAATTGGCTGCTGTATTCCAGGTGCGGTCTTACTAGGGTTTATAAAGCAATACTAATACTTCACGTGATCTTGATTCTATGCCTCTGTTTATACAACCCAGGATTGTATTAGCTTTTTTGACTGCTGCTGCACACTGCTGACTCATGATTAAGTGAGGACTCCAAGGTCCCTCTCACAGTTACTGTTTTTAAGCCAGGTCTCGCCCAGTCTGTACTTGTACCTTTGATTTGTCCTGCCTAAATGTAAAACTTTGCTTTTCTCCAGATGTCAGCTGTGTAGAGACTTGACCCTCATGACTGATTGTTTCATACAAGTGGTCCTTGGTGCTATCTAGGCTTGGTTGTTTTCTTGCAGATGTTTCATTACCTAAAATAGGTAACATCAACATGATGGTGTTACCTTGTTTGGGTAATGAAATGTCTGCAAGAAAACAACCAAGCCTAGAGAGCACCAAGGGTTCCTCATTTCAACCTTGAGCTACAAATATTCTCCTTTATCAGTTTCATATGAATGCTTGAGTTCCATGCCATATGACTTCAGCAGATCACACCCTTTTTTAAATTTCTTCCACTTTCTCTTTTTAATAATAATTCAAAGCATTTTAATACAGAAATAAGTTCTGTTTTTAAGCTTTATTTTTATGCATGAAAATTATTTGTAGCAATATGTCTTTTCTCCAGGTTTCTGCTCATATATGTGTTTCTTTATAACTTTTTTAATTACTAAGCTATTGTGGTCTGAAGTTCCATTTTACTAGTTATTCCTTTCTGCTCTACTGCTCTCTGACACAAGTATCTTAAATGTTTAGCAACTAGAGTCCCCACATCCCTTGATACATTACAGAATAAGTATAGAAAGATTCTTTTATATTTCATGTAAGGGCCAAATTTGTCTCTTGAAGGATGATAGAATATTGCTATATGCTTTCTGTGGAAAAATTCCACAGATGTCATCTGAAGAAGACTTTAGTTTTTTAGAGAATAGCTCAGAAGGCTGAGCAGGAATGTGAATTAATACTGGAAGGGATGAAAGCATGTTAGCTGGATAAAAGCTCAATTTAGTGACATAC